TGAAAAAAACTTCACAAAATGTTATCATAAGATATGCACAAACTGTTTTGGATTGGAAGCATGAGGAAGGCTTAACTGTCACCCACCCAGGTCTCTGATTGTATCTTCACTATACAGTGGGGAAAAAAAGTATTTAGTCAGCCACCAATTGTGCAAGTTCTCCCACTTAAAAAGATGAGAGAGGCCTGTAATTTTCATCATAGGTACACGTCAACTATGACAGACAAATTGAGATTTTCTTTTCCAGAAAATGACATTGTAGGATTTTTAATGAATTTATTTGCAAATTATGGTGGAAAATAAGTATTTGGTCACCTTCAAACAAGCAAGATTTCTGGCTCTAACTTCTTCTTTAAGAGGCTCCTCTGTCCTCCACTCGTTACCTGTATTAATGGCACCTGTTTGAACTTGTTATCAGTATAAAAGACACCTGTCCACAACCTCAAACAGTCACACTCCAAACTCCACTATGGCCAAGACCAAAGAGCTGTCAAAGGACACCAGAAACAAAATTGTAGACCTGCACCAGTTTGGGAAGACTGAATCTGCAATAGGTAAGCAGCTTGGTTTGAAGAAATCAACTGTGGGAGCAATTATTAGGAAATGGAAGACATACAAGACCACTGATAATCTCCCTCGATCTGGGGCTCCACGCAAGATCTCACCCCGTGGGGTCAAAATGATCACAAGTGAGCAAAAATCCCAGAACCACACGGGGGGACCTAGTGAATGACCTGCAGAGAGCTGGGACCAAAGTAACAAAGCCTTCCATCAGTAACAATCTACGCCGCCAGGGACTCAAATCCTGCAGTGCAGACGTGTCCCCCTGCTTAAGCCAGTACATGTCCAGGCCCGTCTGAAGTTTGCTAGAGTGCATTTGGATGATCCAGAAGAGGATTGGGAGAATGTCATATGGTCAAATGAAACCACAATAGAACTTTTTGGTAAAAACTCAACTCGTCGTGTTTGGAGGACAAAGAATACTGAGTTGCATCCAAAGAACACCATACCTACAGTGAAGCATGGGGGTGGAAACATCATGCTTTGGGGCTGTTTTTCTGCAAAGGGACCAGGACGACTGATCCGTGTAAAGGAAAGAATGAATGGGGCCATGTATCGTGAGATTTTGAGTGAAAACCTCCTTCCATCAGCAAGGTCATTGAAGATGAAACGTGGCTGGGTCTTTCAGCATGACAATGATCCCAAACACACCGCCCGGGCAACGAAGGAGTGGCTTCGTAAGAAGCATTTCAAGGTCCTGGAGTGGCCTAGCCAGTCTCCAGATCTCAACTCCATAGAAAATCTTTGGAGGGAGTTGAAAGTCTGTGTTGCCCAGCGACAGCCCCAAAACATCACTGCTCTAGAGGAGATCTGCATGGAGGAATGGGCCAAAATACCAGCAACAGTGTGTGAAAACCTTGTGAAGACTTTTGACCTGTGTCATTGCCAACAAAGGGTATATAACAAAGTATTGAGAAACTTTTGTTATTGACCAAATACTTATTTTCCACCATAATTTGCAAATAAATTCATAAAAAATCCTACAATGTGATCTTTCTGGAGAAAAAAAAATCTCAATTTGTCTGTCATAGTTGACGTGTACCTATGATGAAAATTACAGGCCTCTCTCATCTTTTTAAGTGGGAGAACTTGCACAATGAGTGCTGACTAAATACTTTTTCCCCCCACTGTATATACAAAAGTACAGTGCATTCGGAAAGTATTCAGACCCCTTGACTTTTTCCACATTTTGTTACGTTACAACCTCATTCTAAAATTTATAAAATAGTTTTTTTCCCTTATCAATCTACACACAATATCCCATAATGACAAAGCAAAAACATGTTTGTAGAAATTTTAGCAAATTGATAAAAAAACAACAACTGAAATATTACATTTACAAAAGTATTCAGACCCTTTACTCAGTACTTTGTTGAAGCACATTTACATTACATTTTAGTCATTTAGCAGACGCTCTTATCCAGAGCGACTTACAGGAGCAATTAGGGTTAAGTGCCTTGCTCAAGGGCACATTTACGTCATTTAGCAGACGCTCTTATCCAGAGCGACTTACAAATTGTGCATCACCCTATAGCAGTGGGAAAACCACTTTACAACATTTTTTTTTTTTTTTTTTTTTTTTTTGGGGGGGGGGGGTGGTGGTAGAAAAAGGATTACTTTATCCTATCCCAGGTATTCCTTAAAGAGGTGGGGTTTCACCTTTGGCAGCGATTACAGCCTCGAGTCTTCTTGGGTATGACGCTACAAGCTTGACACACCTGTATTTGGGGAGTTTCTCAAATTCTTCTCTGCACATCCTCTCAAGCTCTGTCAGGTTGGATGGGGAGCAATGCTGCACAGATATTTTCAGGTGTCTCCAGAGATTTTAGATCGGGTTCAAGTCCGGGAGCTGGCTGGGCCACTCAAGGACATTCAGAGACTTGTCCTGAAGCCACTCCTGCGTTGTCTTGGCTGTGTGCTTAGGGTTGTTGTCCTTTTGGAAGGTGAAACTTCGCCCCAGTCTGAGGTCCTTAGTGCTCTGGAGCAGATTTTCCTTTCATCAAGGATCTCTCTGTACTTTGCTCCGTTCATCTTTTCCTCGATCCTGACTTGTCTCCCAGTCCCTTCCTCTGAAAAACCTCCCCACAGCATAATACTGCCACTACCAAGCTTCACCGTAGGCCAGGTTTTCTACAGACGTGATGCTTGGCATTCAGGCCAAAGAGTTCAATCTTGTTTCTCATGGTCTGAGAGTCTTTAGGTGCCTTTTGGCATACTCCAAGCTGGCTGTCATGTGCCTTTGTAGGTCAATTGGTAGAGTATGGCGCTTGTAACGCCAGGGTAGTGGGTTCGATCCCCGGGACCACCCATACCTAAAAATGTATGCACACATGACTGTAAGTCGCTTTGGATAAAATGGCATATTATTATTATTATTTTACAGAGGAGTGGCTGATTGGTGGAGTGCTGCGGAGATGGTTGTCCTTCTGGAAAGTTCTCCCATCTCCACAGAGGAATTCTAGAGCTCTGTCAGAGTGACCATTGGGTTCTTGGTCATCTCCCTGACCAAGGCCCTTCTCCCCCGATTGCTCAGTTTGGCCAGGCAGCCAGCTCTAGGAAGAGTCTTGGTGGTTACAAACTTCTTCCATTAAAGAATGATAGAACCCTCTGTGTTCTTGGGGACATTTTTTGGTACCCTTCCCCAGATCTGTGCCTCGACACAATCCTGTCTCGGTGCTCTACGGACAATGCCTTCGACCTCATGGCTTGGTTTTTGCTCTGACATGCATTGTCATCTGTGGGGCATTATATAGACAGGTGTGTGCCTTTCCAAATCATGTCCAATCAATTGAATTTACCACAGGTGGACTCCAATCAAGTTGTAGTTAGATTTCAAGGATCATCAATGATAACAGAATGCACCTGAGCTCAATTTCGAGTCTCATAGTAAAGGGTCTGAAGACTTATGTAAATAAGGTATTTCTGTTTTTTGTTTGTAATAAATGTGCATACATTTCTAAAAACCTGTTTTCACTTTGTCATTATGGGGTATTGTGTGTAGATTGTTGAGTTTATTATTTATTTTTTATCCATTTTAGAATAAGGCTGTAACGTAGCAAAATGTGGAAAAAGTCAAGGGATCTGAATATTGTCCGATGGCACTATATGTGTACACCCCTTCAAATTAGTGGATTCGGCTATTTCAGTCACACCCGTTGCTGACAAGTGTAGAAAATCAAGCACACCGCCATGCAATCTCCATAGACAAACATTGGCAGTAGAATGGCCTTACTGAAGAGCTCAGTAACTTTCAACGTGGCACCGTCAGAGGATGCCACCTTTCCAACAAGTCAGTTAGTGAAATTTCTGCCCTGCTAGAGCTGCCCCGGTCAACTGTAAGTGCTGTTATTGTGAAGTGGAAACGTCTAGGAGTAACAACGGTTCCGCCGCGAAGTGGTAGGCCACACTAGCTCACAGAACGCAACCACCGAGTGCTGAAGCGCGTTGCGAGTAAAAATCGCCTGTCCTCGGTTGCAACACTCTCTACCGAGTTCCGAACTGCCTCTGGAAGCAACGTCAGCACAATAACTATTCATTGGGAGCTTAATGAATGGGTTTCCATGGCCGAGCAGCCGCACACAAGCCTAAGATCACCATGCGCAATGCCAAGAGTCGGCTGGAGTGGTGTAAAGCTCACTGCCATTGGACTCTGGAGCAGTGGAAAAGCATTCTCTGGAGTGTTGAATCACGCTTCACCATCTGGCAGGCTGATGGACGAATCTGGGTTTGGCGGATGCCAGGAGAACGCTACCTGCCCGAATGCATAGTGCCAACTGTAATGTTTGGTAGAAGAGGAATAATGGTCTGGGGCTGTTTTTCATGTTTCGGGCTAGGCCCCTTAGTTCCAGTGAAGGGAAATCTTAATGCTACAGCATACAATGACATTCTAGATGATTCTGTGCTTCCAACTTTGTGGCAACAGTTTGGGGAAGGCCCTTTCCTGTTTCAGCATACAGAAATGGTTTGTCGAGATCGGTGTGGAAGAACTTGACTTGCCTGCACAGAGCCCTGACCTCAACCCCATCAAACACCTTTGGGATGAATTGGAAGGCCGATTGCGAGCCAGGCCTAATCGCCCAACATCAGTGCCCGACCTCACTAATGCTCTTGTGGCTGAATGGAAGCAAGTCCCCGCAGCAATGTTCCAACATCTAGTGGAAAGCCTTCCCAGAAGAGTGGAGGCTGTTATAGCAGCAAAGCGGGGACAAACTCCATATTAATGCCATGATTTTGGAATGAGATGTTCGACGAGCTGCTGTCCACATACTTTTGGTCATGTAGTGTATCTTTATCTCAATTCGACATGACGACAGCTAGTCTTCCTGGGGTCCAAACACACAACAAAAATACATTACGGACATAAGACTTTACTGTCAACCACCCATAGGCCTCGGACTGTCACCCACCCACCCAAGCCTCCGTCTCCTCTCCGTTCCAGGATATTAGAGGTCCTCCCTTGCCCACAGTCCTCCCGGGCCCCAGACCCCCACAGACACACACAGCCTCGGCCTGGAGGAGTTAACCATCACTCCGTTGGCTCAATCGTCATCATAATGAAATCACAGGACCCCCTCGTGTCGGTGATGGGGCCCTGGAACCCTGCTCTCCGTCAAGCCTGTGACACTGATAACCACATCCTAATTGAAACAAATGTGCCAATTAGGCAATTCATCTCTCACATCCTCCGACCACACACTTACAGGGCTAATTTGTCCGGCCACAGCTTCTCTTCTTCCTTCTCTTCTTCCTTCTGCTGGGTGGATCTTTTCATCATTAACCTAAGGCTGTTAGCCGCGGCAGTCGACAGCCCGGGAATGTAGAGCAGGTCTTACAGCTCAGCAGTGAGGGCCAGGCAGATTGTGCCACGCTTTAATTGCCTCTTTCAACTTGCAAATTTCCCCTGATCAAATTGAAATAAATACATACATGAAGAGGAAAAGACTATTCTACCACCGCCGCTGTCGCGTCATCCAGTCGGCTCTCATCCAGTCATAGATAGTTTTAATCATGGAACATTAGAGTAAATCCCCAGTCTTTTCCCCCCTTATCTTTCAACTTTAGTACATTAACTGCTGGCCTCTGATGCCACCCTGCTAAAAGGTATCTTTTAATTGCGCCTTGGAATCTGGAATCCAATGGATGTGTTTTCCAAGGCTTGTTTAAAGTGAAGGGAAAAAAGGCTATTCCCAGTTCTACTCTTTCTAGGTCATACAGTATAGTCTTCAATGAAGTCAGATTGGCTGTAGTTTAGAGTAGAGAATACAGTAGGCCTATCTATGAAGAATGATTGTGAGTGTGGGTGTGTTTGTGTGTGCCCAGTGCAGTGCAATAAGTGTGCACGTTTTTGCAGTTTGAAAACACTCCATGGGTTTGCTATTTAGGAGCACCCTATAAATCCATCAACCAGCCCTATTCTTCCAGTGTGAATGCAATTTGCAAAAGCAGCGATGCAGCTCCATAGACCAGGGTAGGAGCAGTAAAGCGTCACTAAGTTTGTAATTCATAATTTGTTTTCCTCTCTGTGTCTGTGTTGCTGGTAATTGGTTATGGCCCTCCTCTGACTGCCTAATGGCTATGGTCATGTGATTGGATGATGTGGTTGGGTTGTATATGTTGTGTGATGTAATAAGTCTGTAATAACTCTCTCACTCCCTCTCTCTCGCTCTCTCCCTCTCTTGTGGGCAGGTGGAGTGGTTGAAGAACGAAGAGCTAGTGAGCTCCCTGACCGATGACAACATTGACACCCGAGCTGACCACAATCTCATCATCAACGAGGCACGACTGTCCGACTCGGGAAACTACACATGCCTGGCCAGCAACATTGTGGCCAAGAAACGCAGTGCCACAGCCACTGTGATTGTTTTTGGTAAGGCTCCAGGCCCAGCTTCAGCCATTAGCTGACTGTGATTGCCTATTGTAGGCCTAGTTTCCCAGACACATTTAATGGAGAATCATCATTGAACATTTTTAGTGCGGCAGTAGGCTTAATCAGTGCTAGCGAACCAGACCAAAGTGTTTACAGTGCGCCTCAGATCAAGTTGCTGTGTGTTTCATGCCCCCACACAAATGAATGAGACCCATCTCAGTGTTTTTGTTAAGAAAGATGTTTCCCTTTATTTAGATAAATGTATTATTCAAAGAGTCAATTCACTGCCTCCCCTTTGAAATCAATGTGTATTTTATGAAAGGGTATACGCTACTGTGTGTTAATCTCATTTAAAGGCATGTTGCTTATGAATTATGCATTCACCAGAGGCCTTGGAGCAATGTGGCGGCTCACAAGCTTTGGTAGCATTTGGTAGAAAACATTTTGCCTCCACGTCTCCACTCATACAAATCATAGAGCAAACAAATCAGACCACACAGTGGTTGACTACTTAGTAAGAGAACCTCTCATTAATTCTGACTTAAACTGCCCAACTGTATTAATGTGCAGTGGCCTGTTTGAATGAATTCCTCGTAATAATTTTTTCTCTTTGTTTCAAAGAGCTTTGACAATTGAACTGGCTATTAACGGAAGAGTAGTTCACATTCTCCACATTTGATGTACTGTACACTATGTTCAAGCTTCTAGTGATGTTGTAACATCATGGAGCATTGCTAGTCATTAATACCTCTAAAATGTTGTCTATATAGTTAACTCTGTGGGAGATTAGATTTGTTTAAATAAAGTTTCCCTCTCTTTCACTCTCTCTTGCTCTCTCGATCTTTCTTTCTTTCTTTCTTTCTTTCTTTCTTTCTTTCTTTCTTTCTTTCTTTCTTTCTTTCTTTTTTTTCTTTTTCTTTTCTTCGCATACATCAATGCCTCTCCATCCATCTCTCTCCTTCCCATCTGTCTCTCTCTCTGTCTCCCCTCTGTCCTCTCTGCTCTCTGTCTCTCCTCTCTCTCTCTCTGCTCCTCTCTCTCTCCTCGCTCTCTGTTCTCCTGCTCTCATCCTCTCTCTCTGTCTCTCCTCTCTCTCTCTCTCTCTCCTCTCTCTCTCTCTTCTCTCTCGTCTCTCTCTCGCTTCACCACCTCATATCTCTCTCTTTCCCCATCTCTCTCTCTCTCACCACTATCTCTCTCTCTGTAGTGAATGGTGGTTGGTCGCTGTGGACAGAGTGGTCTCCTTGTAACGTGCCCTGTGGTCGGGGTGTCCAGAAACGCTCCCGTACCTGTACCAACCCTGCCCCACTCAACGGAGGGGCTTTCTGCCAGGGCATGTCTGTGCAGAAGATCACCTGTAATGCCCTCTGTCCAAGTAAGCCCTTCTGCCTCATGAAGTACTGTAGAGCTAGTGAATAGACAGCGTTCGACCATCATGATCTTGCGAGATCACATTCTGTTTCTCTACTCGAGGAGGTCAGTCGGTTTCACCAGGCAAGAATAGACTGTCATCTTCTGGGAATGTCTCAAAGGGCAAAGCAATTTGACTTGCAAGGACATACACTACCAGTCAACAGTTTGGACACACCTACTCATTCAAGGGTGTTTCTTTATTTTTACTATTTTCTACATTGTAGAATAATAGTGAAGACATCAAAACTATGACATACAGTGAGGGAAAAAGTATTTGATCCCCTGCTGATTTTGTACCTTTGCCCACTGACAAAGAAATGATCAGTCTATAATTTGAATGGTAGGTTTATTTGAACAGTGAGAGACAGAATAAAAAATCCAGAAAAACGCATGTCAAAAATGTTATGAATTGATTAGCATTTTAATGAGGGAAATAAGTATTTGACCCCTCTGCAAAACATGACTTAGTACTTGGTGGCAAAACTCTTGTTGGCAATCACAGAGGTCAGACGTTTCTTGTAGTTGGCCACCAGGTTTGCACACATCTCAGGAGGGATTTTGTTCCACTCCTCTTTGCAGATCTTCTCCAAGTCATTAAGGTTTCGAGGCTGACGTTTGGCAACTCGAACCTTCAGCTCCCTCCACAGATTTTCTATGGGATTAAGGTCTGGAGACTGGCTAGGCCACTCCAGGACCTTAATGTGCTTCTTCTTGAGCCACTCCTTTGTTGCCTTGGCCGTGTGTTTTGGGTCATTGTCATGCTGGAATACCCATCCACGACCCATTTTCAATGCCCTGGCTGAGGGAAGGAGGTTCTCACCCAAGATTTGACGGTACATGGCCCCGTCCATCGTCCCTTTGATGCGGTGAAGTTGTACTGTCCTCTTAGCAGAAAAACACCACCAAAGCATAATGTTTCCACCTCCATGTTTGACGGTGGGGATGGTGTTCTTGGGGTCATAGGCAGCATTCCTCCTCCTCCAAACACGGCGAGTTGAGTTGATGCCAAAGAGCTCGATTTTGGTCTCATCTGACCACAACACTTTCACCCAGTTCTCCTCTGAATCATTCAGATGTTCATTGGCAAACTTCAGACGGCCCTGTATATGTGCTTTCTTGAGCAGGGGGACCTTGCGGGCGCTGCAGGATTTCAGTCCTTCACGGCGTAATGTGTTACCAATTGTTTTCTTGGTGACTATAGTCCCAGCTGCCTTGAGATCATTGACAAGATCCTCACCGTTCTCATGATCATTGCAACTCCACGAGGTGAGATCTTGTATGGAGCCACAGGCTGAGGGAGATTGACAGTTCTTTTGTGTTTCTTCCATTTGCGAATAATCGCACCAGCTGTTGTCACCTTCTCACCAAGCTGCTTGGCGATGGTCTTGTAGCCCATTCCAGCCTTGTGTAGGTCTACAATCTTGTCCCTGACATCCCTGGAGAGCTCTTTGGTCTTGGCCATGGTGGAGCGTTTGGAATCTGATTGATTGATTGCTTCTGTGGACAGGTGTCTTTTATACAGGTAACAAGCTGAGATTAGGAGCACTCCCTTTAAGAGTGTGCTCCTAATCTCAGCTCGTTACCTGTATAAAAGACACCTGGGAGCCAGAAATCTTTCTGATTGAGAGGGGGTCAAATACTTATTTCCCTCATTCAAATGCAAATCAATTTATAACATTTTTGACATGTGTTTTTCTGGATTTTTTTGTTGTTATTCTGTCTCTCACTGTTCAAATAAACCTACCATTAAAATTATAGACTGATAATTTCTTTGTCAGTGGGTAAACGTACAAAATCAACTGGGGATCAAATACTTTTTTTCCCTCACTGTAACACATATGGAATCATGTAGTAACCAAAAACGTGTTAAACAAATCAAAATATATTTTATATTTGAGATTCTTCAAATAGCCAGTTCCAATTGCCATCAATAGCCTTGATGACAGCTTTGCACACGCTTGGCATTCTCTCAACCAGCTTCATGAGGTAGTCACCTGGAATCCATTTCAATTGACAGGTGTGCCATCTTCAAAGTTAATTTGTAGAATGTATTTCCTTCTTAATGCATTTGAGCCAATCAGTTGTGTTGTGACAAGGTAGGGGGGTATACAGAAGATAGCCCTATTTGGTAAAAGATCAAGTCCATATTATGGCAAGAACAGCTCAAATAAGCAAAGAGAAACGACAGTCCATCATTACTTTAAGACATGAAGGTCAGTCATTATGGAACATTTCAAGAACTTTGAAAGTTTCTTACATTTTACATTTTAGTCATTTAGCAGACGCTCTTATCCAGAGTGACTTACAGTTAGTGAGTGCATACATTTTCAAGTGCAGTTGCAAAAACCATCAAGCGCTATGATGAAACTGGTTCTCATGAGGACCGCCACAGGCGTGGAAGACCCAGAGTTACCTCTGCTGCAGAGGATAAGTTCATTAAAGTTACCAGCCTCAGAAATTGCAGCCCAAATAAATGCTTCATAGAGCTCAAGTCACAGACACATCTCAACATCAACTGTTCAGAGGAGACTGTTTGAATCAGGTATTTATGGTCGAATTGCTGCAAAGAAACCACTACTAAAGGACACCAATAAGAAGAAGAGACCTGCTTGGGTCAAGAAACACGAGCAATGGACATTAGACCGGTGGAAATGTGTCCTTTGGTGTGGAGTCCAAATTGGAGACTTTTGGTTCAAACCGCCGTGCCTTTGTGAGACGCGGTGTGGGTGAATGGATGATCTCCACATGTGTAGTTCCCACCGTAAAGCATGGAGGAGGAGGTGTGATGGGTTGGGGGTTGGGGGTTGCTTTGCTGGTGACACTGTCTGTGATTTATTTAGAATTCAAGGCACACTTAACCAGCATGGCTACCACAGCATTCTACAGCGATACACCATCCCATCGGGTTTGGGCTTAGGGGGACTATCATTTGTTTTTCAACAGGACAATGACCCAACAAACCTCCAGGCTGTGTAAGGGCTATTTTACCAAGAAGGAGATTGATGGAGTGCTGCATCAGATGACCTGGCCTCCACAATCCCCCGACCTCAACCCAATTGAGATGGTTTGGGATGAGTTGGACAGCAGAGTGAAGGAAAAGCAGCCAACAAGTGCTCAGCATATGTGGGAACTCCTTCAAGACTGGTGGAAAAGCATTCCAGGTGAAGCTGGTTGAGAGAATGCCAAGAGTGTGCAAAGCTGTCATCAAGGCAAAGGGTGGCTATTTGAAGAATCTCAAATATTAAATATATTTTGATTTGTTTAACACTTTTTTGGTTACTATATGATTCCATGTGTTATTTCATAGTTGTGATGTCTTCACTATCATTCTACAATGTCAAAAATAGTAAAGATTAAGAAAAATCCTTGGATGAATAGGTGTGTCCAAACTTTTGACTGGTACTGTATATATAGTATGCTCAACTTTATGACTTGATGAATATAGTAGGCTGGTGTGCCATGCAGGCATCTAGGTGCAGAGTGAACATGCGAATACAACATCTGGTTATGCAAGACTATGAAAACTTTATTATATTGTGTGTGAGTCCTATAGTCTTTGTAGTTCATATATGTTGTATGCTGCTGCATGCCTGCCATGGTGGTCTGAATTAGTTCTCTTATATATTTTTTGTTTTTATTTAACCATTATTTTATCAGGGAGTCATACTTAGACCAATGTCTCTTTTACAGATGAACCCTGAACTACAGAAATGACAGAAATACACACATCAAAATATAAGTACAAATAACAAACACATTAATCCGTAATAAGGTCCTCAATCAGCTTTCTGAATTGCCCTAGAGGCACCAAAACATCACATTTAAAAACATGTTGAAGATTGTTCCACAAAATGGTACAACTCAGTAGAGGCCAACGGAATTTCCAGAGTTAGCCATCACTGAGACCGGGTGTGATAACTTACAGTATTTGTCTAAAGGTTAGTATTGATGTTAGGCCAATGTCTTTTCTGTGTCTATTCCTGCACCAGACAATAGTTTGTAGTAGTTCTCAGTTCTAATTAATGTAACTGTGAATTTTCACAGAAAATGTGAACTGTTTCTTCACAAGTCAATCACAAATCACAAGGGGGAGACTGGATCGGTTAGGGAAGAATCTATATGGAGAGAGAGCACAATATGTATGTGCACAGAGGGCTTATAGAACTCATGGAACACTACAAAAGAAATTGCCTTCTCCAGAGCTTGTGCAAAGAGACGGCTTACGGTCGCTGAAAAAGTGCTGCCGAGTGCCGCAGTGGTCTAAGGTACTGCATCTGTCACACCCTGGCTCTGGGACTCTATATGTTGAGCCAGGGTGTGCTCATTCTATGTGTTGAAGTTCTATGTTGGGAGTTCTAGTTTGTTTATTTCTATGTTGGCCAGAGTGGCTCCCAATCAGAGGCAACGAGTGTCAGCTTTTGGCTGGTTGTCTCTGATTGGGAGCCATATTTATACTGTCGGTTTTCCCTTAGTGTTTGTGGGATCTTGTTCCAGTTGGTTGTGTTTAGACTTAGGACGTCACGGTATCGTTTGTTGTTTTGTTATTCGTGTGTGCACTTTAATTAAATAAAGTATGTTCGCTCAACACGCTGCGCCTTGGTCTACTCGATACGACGATCGTGACAGAAGATCCCACCATACCAGGACCAAGCAGCGTGTCCAGGAGCAGGCAGCCTGGACGTGGGAGCAGATTTTGGACGGGCAGGGGTCCTGGACCTGGGAGGAAATCCTGGCCGGGATGGATCGCCGGCCATGGAGTGAGACAGTAGAGGCGCGACGGAGAGAGGAGCAATGGCGTGATCAGTGTCGTCGTCGGACGGTCGAGAGGCAACCCCAAAACATTTTTAGGGGGGGGCACAGGGCATGGACGACGGGGCTGACGGAGGCAGACAAGGGGCGTATTCAGAAGGCCACCAGGTTACGGGGGTCACTGGTAAAGGAAGGGAAGGAAGGTTTAGAGGCACGGCGAGAGGTACTGGGGTGTGTTACCAGTCCGGTCCGGCCCGTTCCAGATCCCGGTGTAGAGCCAGTGGTGTGTGTCCCCAGTACGGTCCGGCCTGTTCCTGCCCCTCGCACCAAGTGTACGGTGCGCGTCGCCAGCCCGGTCCGGCCTGTTCCTGCCCCTCGCACCAAGCCTACGGTTTGCGTCGCCAGCCCGGCCCGGCCTGTTCCTGCCCCTCGCACCAAGCCTACGGTGTGCGTCGCCAGCCCGGCCCGGCCTGTTCCTGCCCCTCGCACCAAGCCTACGGTGCGCGTCGCCAGCCCGGTCCGGCCTGTTCCTGCCACTCGCACCAAGCCTACGGTGCGCGTCGCCAGCCCGGCCCGGCCTGTTCCTGCCACTCGCACCAAGCCTACGGTGCGCGTCGCCAGCCCGGCCCGGCCTGTTCCTGCCACTCGCACCAAGCCTACGGTGCGCGTCGCCAGGCCGGCCCGGCCTGTTCCTGCCACTCGCACCAAGCCTACGGTGCGCGTCGCCAGCCCGGCCCCGGCCTGTTCCTGCCACTCGCACCAAGCCTACGGTGCGCGTCGCCAGCCCGGCCCGGCCTGTTCCTGCCACTCGCACCAAGCCTACGGTGCGCGTCGCCAGCCCGGCCCGGCCTGTTCCTGCCACTCGCACCAAGCCTACGGTGCGCGTCGCCAGCCCGGCCCGGCCTGTTCCTGCTACTCGCACCAAGCCAGGGGTGCGAGTCGTCAGCCTGGTCCAGCCCGTTCCTGCTACTCGCACCAAGCCAGGGGGTGCGAGTCGTCAGCCTGGTCCAGCCCGTTCCTGCTACTCGCACCAAGCCAGGGGTGCGAGTCGTCAGCCTGGTAAAGCCCGTTGCTGCTCCACGCACCAAGCCAGGGGTGCGAGTCGCCAGTCTGGTGAGGCCCGTTCCGGCTCCACGCACCAAGCCAGGGGTGCGCATCGTCAGCCCGGTCCGGCCCGTTGCTGCTCCACGCACCAAGCCAGGGGTGCGCATCGTCAGTCCGGTTGAGGCCCGTTCCGGCTCCACGCACCAAGCCGGGGTGCGCATCGTCAGCCCGGTCCGGCCAGGGTGCGCATCGTCAGCCAGGTCCGGTCCTTTCCTGCATCACGCACCAAGCCAGGGGTGCGCGTCGTCAGTCCGGCACAACCCGTGCCTGGGTCACCGGTGCCTAATCAGGTACCGGTCAACTGCTCCACAACGGAGCTGAAGCTAACCGCTCCTGCTACGTCCAGTTCAGCTCCAGCCAGCGGGGCCAGACCGGACCAGGGGCGCTATGGGGGGTTTATTGGAGGGTGGTGGGCAAGCCCGGAGCCAGAACCGCCGCCGAGGAGGAATGCCCACCCAGCCCTCTCCTGTTTTGTTCTAGTTGAGGCGCGGTCGCAGTCCGCGCCTTTAGGGGGGGGTACTGTCACACCCTGGCTCTGGGACTCTATATGTTGAGCCAGGGTGTGTTCATTCTATGTGTTGAAGTTCTATGTTGGGAGTTCTAGTTTGTTTATTTCTATGTTGGCCTGAGTGACTCCCAATCAGAGGCAACGAGTGTCAGCTTCGGCTGGTTGTCTCTGATTGGGAGCCATATTTATACTGTCGGTTTTCCCTTAGTGTTTGTGGGATCTTGTTCCAGTTGGTTGTGTTTAGACTTAGGACGTCACGGTATCGTTTGTTGTTTTGTTATTCGTGTGTGCACTTTAATTAAATAAAGTATGTTCGCTCAACACGCTGCGCCTTGGTCTACTCGATACGACGATCGTGACAGCATCGCAGTGCTAGCTGTGCCACTAGAGATCCTGGTTCGAATCCAGGCTCTGTCGTAGCCGGCCGCGACCGGGAGACCCATGGGGCGGCGCACAATTGGCCCAGCGTCGTCCAGGGTAGGGGAGGGAATGGCCGGCAGGGATGTAGCTCAGTAGAGCATGGCGTCTGCAACGCCAGGGTTGTGAGTTCGATTCCCACAGGGGGCCAGTATAAAAAAGAATGTATGCACTCACTAACTGTAAGTCGCTCTGGATAAGAGCGTCTGCTAAATGACTTAAATGTAAATGTAAGAAATCTCTTTTGGCACCATATGGGTTCCTCCTAGATGAAATGACACAGACTACAGAGGAACCAGAGTTTTAACGTGCACGGTTATATCAGGGGATTTCATTTCACATTCTGCAGAGAGAGAGAGAGAGAGAGACGAGGGATCACATTATTTGAGGAGGACCTGAGGGTTAATGTGGACTAAATGGTCTTTGAGATGGACCATCGCCTCACCTTCTGTCTGTGTGTTCTGTGTTCCATGTCCTCCTCCACAGTTAACGGTGGCTGGGAAGAGTGGAGTGAGTGGACGGTGTGCAGTGTGCAGTGTGAAAGACAGCGTAGGAGGGAGTGCAATAACCCACCACCCAGACACAGGGGCAAGATGTGTGAGGGGCCCAGCAATGCCACAAAGAACTGCACTGGAGGAATGTGTACCCAGAGTAAGTCCCTTACTATTTTCTCTGAAGGATTTCTTTCTTTTCTACATTGCCATCTTAACCTCGACTGTCATCTCCATAAGCCCTATCTCCATTACACCCTTCATAACATGACTTGTCATTAACATATCTGAACAGCTGGCCACAGAGGGATTTGCTGGACAAATAAACACACTGGAATGAATTCCACATTGCTGGAGCACTCAGTGCATGAAAACACCAAGCGAAACATCCTCCGTGTCACAAGAGCATATACTGTAGCTATCACTGAAGACATGGAGGGTGCATTAAGTTTTGACCACAGTTTGTACATTTTGACCATGGTTGTCAAAGCAATTTAGTAACTGATGCAATGCATTGCCCGCATCCGTAATGCTTAATTTCACATTTGCATAATTCAGTGATAAACTCATCAAAATGCACAATGAGAGGTTTAGAAATAAATATTGAGTTACGCACTCTGTCTGATCTACTGTAAACTAGAGTCATGTTTGCGTTGTCGAAATGCCGTCCATGATGTAATATTAAGGGCCACGAACTGTGACACTAATTAACTGACTAAAAGGAAATCTTACACGCATGCAGTCTCTGAATGGGATAAAAGATAGAGGCATAAGCATGTTTTAAAAAGTTGGACTGGTATTTTGGGCTAGTGTGGTACAAGCATTAGTAAGCTCCAATTTTCCATTGGTAAGCATACAATTTCCCAAAATATTTGATCCTTTTCTTTTTCTCTTTGTGAAGGAGAGAGATAATCATGGTATTTTTCAGACCCATTTGCCAATCTCTCCCTTGGCCACTTTTATCCATGTGGATATGAGTCTGGTAATGAAGCCATGCATCATTATCTGGGCAGTCTGTATCTGTATTGGCATATTTCAGTAGTAGGGCCTCTCCACATGATGTGAGTCTGAAAGAAGTGCACTAGTAGGATACCTCACTCACACAGGGCTGGCGTTTAATCACCTTGCTCTGTATGTGTCCCAAATGGCAACTTTTTTCCTTTATAGGGCACTACTTTTGTAGTGAAATAGTGCACTATAAAGGGAATAGGTTGCAATTTGGGACACAACCAGGGCTGGTGTTTAATCACCTCTATCTCTCTCTCTCTTTTCTGTCTCATTCTGTGTCTGTCTTTGCAGATGGAAAGCTGCTGCATGATGTTAAACCTCAAAGTGAGTCCTTCCTTTCTGCATTTCTTTTATCTTCAACCCCCAACTCTTGAAACAGGCTAGCTGTCTACCTAATTTGTGATGCTTACAATTGTCACTAGATGAAAGTTCAGGAACCAGAATCAGAATATGACCCGTTTTTTTTTATGATAACCTTTTTTAGACATATACCTATTTGGTTAACTTTAATTTCCCTGCATTTTAAACAGCCATCACACCCATCAAAAACAATTGTAATCAGGTTCTATAACCATAACTATAACCATAGAATTAGGAATTAGAATAATTTGAGTAATTTAATAGGAGCTCTATTACTATAACCAGGTTCTACCATTCTATCACTCAGCTGTTCACTCTTCACGAGCATGACATCACAACGTGCTCTCCTTCTCGGATTGAACCGAGAGATTGATCGGTTGTGACAACTGAACATATGCTATATTGTAGGGGATTAATGCAGTGTAATTATGCAAACGAGCTAATTTGACCAATTTGCAGTGTATCCTCACTTGTATTCCCCCGGTGGGTATCAGCTCAGACACTCTCTCTTCCCCTTGCATACCGCCTGACATCTCCTGAAATGATTCAGGTGCTACCTTGACTGGAGCCTCAGCAGTGATTGTAATGAGACTTCATTAGGCTGACAGACAGGCTCACTCACTGTGCCTGGTTTGCAATGCACAGGGTCAAACAATTCAGTGGAGAGTTCTAGAAGGGGGAGACAGACATCTGGTGAGTGATCATACTAACGGGGCTAATACTCTAAATTAATTTGCTTCGGAACATTTCCTGTCACTGTCGGACGTTGACCATTGGGGCATACAATGTAGTTTAGTATGTACCATTAGGCTTATTGGATATAGACTAGTGGGTCTGAAAGCAGTTATACCCTTCTCACTCTCACTGTTAACAGCTTTATGAATGTGTTGTGCATCAGCGGTGTAGGGGTGAGATTCTGCATGCTCATCTAGTCCTCTGTGTGCTGCATAATGTAGCATAGGAAGATGAGCCTGTTGGATGAGCAGTTGAACCGTATCTTGGGATGGACAGCCAGCACAGTGCTCTACACTGTGCTTTCAAATGAATTCACTTCTCTCCAAAAGATCCTAGTGATAATGTCAAAGACAATACTGTATATTTTAATGACTATTTTCGATGCCTCAGAATGTCACCACAAAATAATCACCACCATCACCATTCTCACATGTTCCTCTTCAGTGTCTCTGTACTGTACCTTAGTTGAGCTTCTTGCATATTATTGTTTACACTTAGCAAACATCCATTGAGACTGTTGTTTCTGTGTTGGTCTGTGTGTGTACCAGGTATGGACGGCTCCAACGACGTGGCTCTATACTCTGGGCTGGTGTCGGGGGTCATAGTTGTGGCTGTCCTTGTGGTGGCCGTCATGCTGTACAGGAGGAGCCAGAGCAACTACGGCGTTGACGTCATCGACTCATCCGCGCTAACCGGAGGCTTCCAGTCATTCACCTTCAAGACTACCAGACAAGGTGAGCTAGCGCTGCCTTTCACTTTATGGAGACATACCCAGTTGCGCACAAGGCCAAACGGTAGGCAGGAGTTTTTCAAGGACCCTTTCGACAGGCTGCTGCTGCTGGTGATTGATTGCATGTGTTTGCATTGAGGCAGCACGGTGGCGGCACGGTGCAAACCCTGCACATCTGCCTTTAATTATATTCTCATAATCGCTGAAAGGATCTGTCCTTCTATTTTGACAGACCAGCTCTTCTGTTATTGCTGAGATAGGTCATCAATCTTTGACAGACACATTCTGTGTCCCCCTGGACTGCAGACCACACACACACATTTGACTGTCAAGCAACCAATCCCCCTTCCCTGCCGTCAGATAGCCCCAGCCAAATTCACTGATGGATAAATGTGAAAAGCATGGAACACTGAACATCAATTGCATTTTTGTTGTACACAGCAATAACTTCTGTTCATAACAGTGTCTGGGGCTGTGGCTTATCCCAGGCAGCCTTCCTATTACTGTCAATGACACTTCTGGGTTAGCACAAGCGATAGCCATTGCAGCAGCGGGTGATAAATCCTGGCTGGATGTGACAACCCTGTGAAAAGCCCTGCCGGAGCCATGCTGAGCCCACTACATTCACTGCTCCCAAGGCCTGGGATGACACTCATGCGCTGGGCGGGGAGGGGGAGCTGGGGGACTGTGCAGGGCTACATCCGGCAGGCCATCAATCCTATTTAAATAGGCCAGCTTTTCAGAAGCCGCCTGCTGTGCCCTCCACCGGCCACCACCACTCCATCCCGTTCCCCTCTCCATCAGCTTGCTAATAGAGCAGAAGAAATACAGCTCATATTATCCGCTTTCCCATTTCCAGTCTGGATCCTTCTTTTACAGAGGGATGGAAAGAAACACAAATGAATAGCGAATATATACTATTTTTCCTGACTGTTCCCTCCAGTCAACCTTATTCAAGTAGATTTTTCATAATCACAATAATATACGGTTATACACATAGAGAGAAAAACATAGCTTTTCTCAAGTGTGTTCTTTACAGGAAATTAGTAGCTTTTCATGCCTTTTTAATTTATTTGAAAAGTCCCTTAAATGCTTCAGATAGCTCCTGCCGCATGAGGGGGTGTAAGGCGGAGTGGTGAATGAGTCTTTATGCATTACTGCTGGGCATAAGGTCCAATTCCAAACCTATCCCTCAAGGTATTCAACGTGAGATCCATTTCATTAACTCTGTCTTCCCACCTCCTCCGCAATTCCATTTTGCTCCACCATTTTAAAGATGCACACTCAAGCCATAATCAGATTTTTCTCCACTGCGCTGAGAAGAAGAGAAAATGCACATGGATGTTTGTTTGCATGTCAGATTGAAAGTTTAAGCAATGTCCACTGAATTTTTTTTTAATGCATTATCAATATGAATTTTCTCAAGAGTCCTCTACTATGTCTACTGCAATCAGTAGCAAATCACTACTAATCAGTAACAAAATTTCTGATTGCACTTATTTCACACTGCTCAAATGTAACATTTCCCATGATATCCTCTAACGTGTTTGATTGAATTGCAATAGATTTTTTTTATTATTATTGTATGCTTTCATCCTGTTATGCATTTTCAGGCACTAGACTAGACGATGAAGTTACAAGGAGAAGCCCTTGATTGAAGAATACCCTCTAGTTAGTCTTTCAGTGGAAACTAACACACCCTGAAAGCATGACACAGATCAAGCCCCCCAGCAATTAACGATTCCCCTAAAAATAAAACATTACCCTCCTACCTTATGCCCCTCGCCAGGCAGCAGCTGGGCAGCAATGACTTTGTGACTCTGCTGTTATCTTGGCACAGGGAGTCCTAGGGCCCTAATGTCTGGATGTGCCAGATAGATGCATGCAGTGTTTGGCAGTGTGGCCAAGCGTCTAATGGCTGTGGCTGAAGACCTTGTACTGTTGAGTTGATTATGAGAGCTGAAGGACTCCCCTCATTTACAGGACGGCCACCCAGACCCCCTTAGCACCTTCCCAGCCACACACACAAACACGCACGCACGCACGCACACAACCCCAGCGCTGTGCTGTGACCACAGACAGAGAACGACTGTGTCCTCCAGGAGGGTGACTTTGTGTACAGAGAGGAACTGACTCCAACTCCAACAGATGGATTATGGCGATCAAGCTGTGAATGCTTGGTAAATAAATCTACCTCTGACCAGTGACTATGGCTCAGCCCTGACCTGGATAGCTACAGTATCTTTTATCCAGGTTATTTACCTGTAACGTAACTCTGTGTTAGTCACATTCCCTGACATGTTTTTCACACTAAAAGCCTGTTTTCCATCAGTTGACAGTGTGCTCCCTGCTCAGTGGACTTCACTTCAGCCAATTGCTCCAGCAGAGAGAGCTAGGGTATTTAGATGGCAGCATGACTATGTAGCTGTGTGTTTCATTCCATCTCTCTAGGGAGCCCACTGCTTCTCAACTCCTCTCTGCAGCCAGACCTGACAGTGGGCCGGACTTATAGCAGACCCATCTGCTTCCAGGACTCAATAGACAATAAAGAGCTCTTTGACCCCCTGCCAGACATCAAGGTCAAAGTTCAGAGCTCCTTTATGGTTTCACTAGGTGTGGCCGACCGCGCTGAGTACCACGCACCCAAAGGCCATCCGCCCAAGACCTTCCCCAGGGGGCTGAACCGAGACTACAGCAACAGCACTGTGGAGAGACGGAGCACCAAGAAGGGCCTGCTCACCCCCAACGGGCCCCCCCTAACCCCCACTGAAGATCAGATGAGAACCACGGGCGTGTTTGGGTATCTGGGCGGCCGGTTGGTGGTGCCAAATACTGGTGAGCTACAGTACATGGGTTTAATGAAGAGAGATGGGTAGACTACTCTCTGATGATAGCTACTCTCTGATGCTAATATGTCATTCTAGCATTTTTTTCAGTATGTACTGTACGCCTATTCTAATGGAAAATAAAGTTCTCAGTTTAGCTAAAACATGGACACGCTTGACTAATTACAAGTAGAGGTAGTCTAAGTGAATATGTCTTGGTTAGTGAAACCAGGGATATATCTCAAATGGCACCCTATTCTTTATGGGCCCTGGTCAAAAGTATTGCACTATAAAAAGAGTAGGATGCCATTTGGGACTCAGATCAGGTCCCTTTAATCTCTCTAGAGTCTAATGCATGTTGCTACAGTACTGTAGGATTCATTCATGTTGTTTCCCAGGTAGGTCCAGTACAGGAATCTAGTATAGCTGTTTGTTATTCGTCTACATTCCCACCAGCTCCCCCAGGCAAACGGGGGTCAGGCCTCTTATCATAGACCATAACTACAAGTGGAGGGAGTAGATGAGTTTGCTATGAGGACTGCCACAGTTGTCAGGGGTCAACAGTTCCATGTGAACTGTAGCTTTGACATCTCTCTCCCGGGCCCTGGTGTGTGTAGGGCCCTCAGCTTTGTTGGAGAGGCACTGATTGAGAGCCACAGTGAAATCAGGCTGCGTCAGACTCATCGTTGTGTGTGAGTGGAGAGAGTCACAGCGGTCAAGTGGACCACTCTCACATCTCCAATGTCTTTAACGATGCTGAATGGACGACCATACATGGCCAACACTTGGCTAACTGCCAGTCTCTTCTTTCAGGATGAATACATATCCTACAAACTCAAGCACAAGTGAACACACACATGAACATGTACGCACACACACAGACCGACAACCTTCAATACAATCTTAGACATCAGTCTCTCCTGTGGGACGTAAACTGATGATGATCAAACTTTGGCGGTGTGAGATGTGAGCGTAATCCCTTGGGCTAAGGATGTTCCCTGTCACTCTGATGATTTAAGAGGTCCTGGAGGGCTCCTGCACAGCCATCCCCAGTGAAACATCTGACAGGGTGGCAGGTGTTGGTTTAATGAAAGCTAACTGGTTGATTTGCAAGAGGGGAGATGACAGGCAGGGGGACGACAAAACACTTACATTGCTGTTTATAGACAGGCAGATATTGAATCTCCTATACAGCTGCTCTCCCCCAGCTCTCACATTTTATTGTGTTACAAAGTGGGATTAATTGTCAATTTTTTTTACAATCTACACAAAATACTCTTTAATGTCAAAATGGGAGAAAAATTATCTTTTTTGGGGGGGATTAATAAAAAAACTAAAATATAGTCGTTGCATAAGAATTCAGCTCCCTGAGTCAATATGTTAGAAACACCTTTGGCATCGATTACAGCTGTGAGTCTTATTGGGTAAGTCTCTAAGAGCTTTGCCCACCTGGATTATGCAGTATTTGCCCATTATTCTTCAAGATGTTGGGGATCATGGCTACACAGCAATTTTCAAGTCATGCCATAGATTTGCAAGGAGATTAAAGTCAAAACTGTGGCCACTCAGGAACATTCACTGTCTTCTTGGTAAGCAACTCCAGTATAGATTTGGCCTTGTGTTGTAGGTTATTGTCCTGCTGAAAGGTGTTGTTTTGGATTTGCCCTAAAAATAAGGCTTTGCATTTAGGCAAAAAAGTGTATTCCTTTGCTGTGTTATTTTTTTCAGTATTACTTTAGTGCCTTTTTGCATACAAGATGCATGTTTTGGAATATTTTCATTCTGTATATTTATTTATATTATTCTTTTCACTCTGTCATTTAGGTCATTATTGTGAGTCACTACAATGATGTTGATCCATCCTCAGTTTTCACAGCCATTGAACTCTGTAGCTGTCTTAAAATCACCAATGGCCTCATGGTAACATCCCTGATCAGTTTCATTCCTGTCCTACAGCTCAGTTCAGAAGGATGACTGTATCTTTGATATGTCTGGGTGGTTTAATGCATAATCCACAGCATAATAATTTACTTGACCATGCTTAAAGAGATATTCATTTTTTACATAAAAAAAACAACATTTTTAGTCATTTAGCAGATGCTCTTATCCAGAGCGCCATGCTCTACCAACTGAGCTACAGGAGACTAAAATATTCAATGCCTGATTTGTTATTGTTACACATGTACCAATCACTGCCCTTCTTTGAGGCTTTCTAAAAGCTCCCTGGTCTTCGTAGTTGAATCTATGCTTGAAATGCGATACTTGACTGAGGGACCTTACAGATGTTGTATGTATGGGGGACAGAGGAAGGGTTAGTCATTCAAAAATGATGTCAACCCCATGTAACTTATTATGTGATTTGTTAAGCCAAATTCTACTCCTGAACTAATTTAGGCTTGACTAAACAAAAGACTGAATACTTATGCGACAACTATATTTTAGTAATGAATTTATTTATTTACAAAAATAAGGATATTCATTTTTTAAATAGATTCTTGACAAAAAATGACAATTAAATCAATTTTAATCCCACTTTGTAACACAATAAAATGTGAAGAAATCCAAGGGGTCGGAATACTTTAGCAAGGCACCTGTAAAGTGTTACATGAGCTGAAATAAAAGAGGCCAGAAATGTTCCACACGCACAAAAAGCTTATTTCTCTCAAAATATGTGCACCAATTTGTTTACATCCCTGTTAGTGAACATTCCTCCTTTGCCAAGATAACCAATCCACCTGACAAGTGTGGCATATCAAGAAGCTGATTAAACAGCATGATCATTACACAAGTGCACTTTGTGCTGTGGACAATAAAAGGCCACTCTAAAATGTGCAGTTTTGTCATACAACACAATGCCACAAATGTCTCAAGTTTTGAGGGAGCGTGCAATTGGCATGATGACTGCAGGAATGTCCACCAGAGCTGTTGCCAGAGAATTGAATGTTCATTTCTCTACCATAAGCTGCCTCCAACATCGTGTTAGAGAATTTGGCAATATGTTCAACCGGCCTCACAACCGCAGACCACGTGTTACCATGGCAGTCCAGGACCTCCACATCCGGCTTCTTCATCTGCGGGATCGGCTGAGACCAGCCACCTAGACAGCTGATGAAACTGACAAGTATTTCTGTCTGTAATAAAGCCCTTTTGTGGGGAAAAACTCATTCTGATTGGCTGGGGCTTGGCTCCCCAATGGGTGGTCCTTGCTCCCAAGTGGGTGGCCCTATGCTCTACCAGGCCCACCCATGGCTGCGCTCCTGCCCAGTCATGTGAAATCCATAGATTAGGGCCTAATGAATTTATTTCAATTGACTGATTTCCATATGTGAACTGTAACTCAGTACATTATTGAAATTGTTGCATGTTGCGTTTATATTTTTGTTCAGTATAGAAGGAATCCATGTTCTGCTCAACTATATACAGGCATCTCACAGATATCTTTTGTGTTTTGTTGTTGTTATTGTTGTTGACTCTGTTGTGTCTTGCAGGAGTCAGCCTGCTGGTGCCCCATGGTGCGATCGCTGAGGACACTTCCTGGGAGATGTACGTGGTGATAAATCAGGGAGAGTCCAGGTGAGAGCAGATCTCATGACCATCTATCTGTCTGTCAGTCGCTCTCTACTTCCTCATCTTTCATCATCAAGCCTTACCATTCTTTACCAGTTGAACTATGCTACTTGTCCACCCTTCCTCACCCGTTTTTACCTTAAGAGTTAAAAACTTTAAAAATAACCCAGTGTATCCATTACAATTCTGCATAGCTGAATATTCATGTAGGCAAAATAAAACCTCCAAATGAAGACTCACAACAGATGTACTCTTTCCTGCTCAGTATAAACATCGGTGACCCTTCCAGTCTCCTTCCCACTATGTGTTCACTGAGGGCTCTGGCAGATGGACCCAGCGAGCACAACAGACTATCTCCACACAAATCCTTTAGGTGTCAAGATCAGGCTGATCATTTCCACTGTAGCCTTGCAGGTGATATTCCAGCTTTGATCTCTGCAACAGAGTGCAACAGAGAAAGTTCAGCTCATGTGAAGCAATGTGGGTTTATTCCCAATGTAGTCTTGATTAATTTAGTCCAACTGACTTCAAGGAGATAGTCCATATATTCAGTAAAGTGTTGATGGGTAGAGTTTGAGTTGGTGGTGGTCTAAAACATTAAAAATAAAATACTTGGACTCATTTAATCTGTTTATATTTCAAAGCCAGAGCCACCTGTTTTGTACGCCCACATTCCTACAACAACTTGGGAAGTGAATTTAAAGATCTAAATTCTAAATGTTCTTTATGGAAGTTCTGGATGCCAGGTGTTTTCTCCTTGGCTCTGCCTAGATGGTGTAGGAATACGGTCATGGCCGGGCTGTGCAATACATCTCTCCCACTTGAGGATGACATGACTCCCCTGCCCGGCCACTGTACCTTCTAGTTAGCCTCAACAACACCCCACAGGGACAGACTGTGGCTGTGCCCCAAATGCCACCCTATTCCCTTTATAGTGCACTACTTTTGACCAGGACCCATAGGACTCTGGTCAAAATTAGTCGCACTACTGTATATAGAGAATAGAGTGCCATTTGGGATGCAGCCTGACTGGAAAGATTTGTGAGCTCTCCATAAAACCCTTCGGGTCATTTGTCCATTCGATCTGCAGGTGGGATGTCACTGACTGTCTCTGGCTGGAACTGTTGTAATGGTTTCAACATAGCATTCATTTTAATGCCACAGGGAGAAAGTAAGGTTGTCCAGTTTATATCTTAGTATCCCTTATTCTCTTGAGCTCATGAGTAAACAAGCGCTTCAAATATGTGGGTTAGTAATGTCAATTTTAGTTTAATTTAACTGTATAAAGATATTTACTGACATGCGATCAGAGAGCTAAAGAGAGAGGAGGGGTGGGAAAGACTGAGAAAAGAGAGACGCTAAAAGGGATGTACGTAAAAGATACATAAAAAATCATAGCTCGATATGTGCAGCCAATTGGAGTTCGTAATGTACAACTTTCACTCTTAGGAACCAATGTGATGAATGTCCCCATTCTCTGTCCAAGACGTGCCTATGTGTTGCCTTAAAAAATTGACAAAAACCCAGTTGGACAGGCAGGTAGGAGAGTACAAGCAAATAAAGGTGAAGCTAATGGAGCATGTTAATGTGTGCATTTATTAAACCCCACACTGCCTCTGCTCTCTCTGTAGCGTTGTGGCCCAATATGCCACTTTGCAAGGCTCCCCAGTCCCTGAAGAGTGAGTCATCAGTCACTTTGAATAATGCACCTCATCTAGGGCCAGGGAGGCAGCTGAGCTATACGTAGGTACAGGACTCTTCATGATGATGACAAGTGGAATTGAAAAAGAGAGGGGTACGTCCCAAATGGCACACCATTCCCTATATAGTAAACTACTTTTGACCAGAGCCATGTGAGCCCTGGTCAAAAGTAGTGCACTATAAAGGAAAGAGAGTACCATTTGGGACTCAGCCAGGATAAGAGCCAGAGGCACTTCTTCTTTTAGGTGCTGTTGCTGCTAGACTCCTCTCCGTCATAAGTGGTAGGCAGCTACTTAAAGTTCAGCTAATCTGCTCCTAGCTTAGCTACTCTTGCCGTTGAATGTGTGATCAGGCTCTTCGTTGTTGGCTAAAGGATCATCAGAGCTCTTGCTGGACCATTCAAAAACCAGTCAGGGCTGCTATTAAAACAGCATGGTGATTGACGTGGGCAGTGAGCTATCATCTGTATAAAAAAGGTACAGGTTAACTGTGTGAGGTGGAGGTTAGATAAACATAAATAGTCATCATCAGCACTGGATATGCAACCACATATTTTATTGCTATTTATTACTGTGTCTTTTACTAGAGTATTCAGAATCTTGCACTGTACTATAACTGCAAGTCAGTGAAATACGTATAATAGATATTATGTTTTATCAATAGAAGTACTGATTTGTTCAGATGTTGAAAATGTTTGGGAAGTCTAAAAAGTCTAAAAAGTATTCAGATCCCTTGATTTTTCTACATTTTGTTAGGTTACAGCCTTATTCTAAAATGGATTTAAAAAATAAAATAATCATCAATCTACACACATTACCCCATAATGACAAAGCAAAAACAGGTTTATAAAACGGAAATATCACATTTACATAAGTATTCAGACCCTTTACTCAGTACATTGTTGAAGCACCTTTGGCAGCGATTACAGCCTTGAGTCTTCTTGGGAATGACGCTACAAGCTTGGCACACCTGTATTTGGGGAGTTTCTCCCATTCTTCTCTGCAGATCCTCTCAAGCTCTGTCAGGTTGGATGGGGAGCGTCGCTGCACAGCTATTTTCAGGTCTCTCCGGAGATGTTAGATCGGGTTCAAGTCCAGGCTCTGGCTGGGCCACTCAAGGATATTCAGAGACTTGTCCCGAAGCCACTCCAGCGTTGTCTTGGCTGTGTGCTTAGGGTCGTTGTCCTGTTGGAAGGTGAGCCTTCACCCCAGTCTGAGGTCCTGAGCGTTCTGGAGCAGGTTTTCATCAAGGATCTCTCTGTACTTTGCTCTGTTGATCTTTTCCTCGATCCTGACTAGTCTCCCAGTCCCTGCCGCTGAAAAACATCCCCACAACATGATGCTGCCACCACCATGCTTCACCGTAGGGATGGTGCCAGGTTTCCTCCAGACATGACATTTGGCATTCAGGCCAAAGAGTTCAATCTTGGTTTCATCAGACCAGAGAATCTTGTTTCTCATGTTCTGAGAGTCTTTAGGTGCCTTTTGGCAAACTCCAAGCGGGCTGTCATGTGCCTTTTACTGAGGAGTGGCTTCCGTCTGGCCACTCTACCATAAAGGCCTGATTGGTGTAGTGCTGCAGAGATGGTTGTCCTTCAGGAAGGTTCTCCCATCTCCACAGAGGAACTCTAGAGCTCTGTCAGAGTGACCATCGGGTTCTTGGTCAACTCCCTGACCAAGGCCCTTCTCCCCCCGATTGCTCAGTTTGGCCGGGCAGCCAGCTCTAGAAAGAGTCTTGGTGGTTCCAAACTTCTTCCATTTAAGAAGGATGGAGGCTACTGTGTTCTTGGGGACCTTCAATGCTGCAGAACTTTTTTGGTTCCCCAGATCTGTGCCTCAGCACAATCCTGTCTTGGAGCTCTACGGACAATTCCTTCGACCTCATGGCTTGGTTTTTGCTCTGACATGCACTGTTAACTGTGGAACCTTATATAGACAGGTGTGTGCCTTTCCAAATCATGTCCAATCAATTGACTTGACCACAGGTGGACTCCAATGAAGTTGTAGAAACATCTCAAGGATGATCAATGGAAACAGAATGCACATGAGCTCAATTTCGAGTCTCATAGAAAAGGGTCTGAATACTTATGTAAATAAGGTATTTCAGTTTTTTATGTTTAATACATTTGCAAACATTTCTAAAAACCTGTTTTCGCTTTGCCATTATGGAGTATTGTGTGTAGATTGATGAGGAAAAAAAGTATTTAATAAATTTTAGAATAAGGCTGTAACGTAACAAAGTGTGAAAAAGGGAAGGGGTCTGAATACTTTCCGAATGCACTGTAGCTACAGCTGTTGTTTAGGAAGATACTGTAGAACACATACAGCTGCTACAGATGGGTTGACTTGTTACTCATCTCAACTAGCCTTAGATGCGAAATGTTTAGATTTGTATTACTGAATAAGGGAAAAAATCTATATGTGTAATATCTTGATATGTTGATTGTTGTAACATAACATGATGCATATTTCGTTGTAGGATAATGTCTGTTGAATAGTGACTAATTTTGTTGCTGTGTTGTCAGACAGTTGCTGTTGTGTTGTCATGACAGGCATCTCTAGACACAAGCGTGTCATTCTAATGTATAACCTCAATGGAGACAATGACATGTATTGAGGATTTTTATTTATTTAATCAATTTTAGAATAAGGCTGTAACATAACAAAATGGGAAACAAGTCAAGCAGTCTCAATACTTTCCGAAGGCACTGACTGTGAAAAGTGAAACATGAAAGAGCTTAACCATTGTTGGGCAATCCAGACTACAGTACAATATATGTGGCAATCTTACTGAAATAATTAACAAAGTTTTAATCTGCCACAATATTATTTTATGCCTTGGGGTATTTGTTTAGTCACACTATATCTTGACGCGGTGAACCTTCCACCTCACTCACTCATTCAATCACTCAAGTATCTGGATATAGCCTAAGTCCGTTTTTTTTCAGGGGAGGAAATCTTGACAAATCACAGCTCTCAGATCTCTGATCTGTGATGACTGATATGAGCTTAGAGAGCTTTGCGAAGGCGTCTCGCTGCACTGCCTTGATCTTCCTTGGCCTTTTCAATCGCCTACCCCTCCTACTCCTCCTGGCAACACAACATCAAGATGCTATTGTCAGCCCTTTTTTAATGAATACACCATCCAATGTGAAGGTAAATCGTATTCTGAGTTTATGACTCTGTCTCTAGCAGGGAATCCGGGAACCAAACACCTGCAGGCGGCTCTCTGTGTTTGTGGATTTGCATGACTGTCCACCGCCCTCATTCGTTTTTCTTCATTAATTGCTTTAATTTCATTCAGCACCACCACAAGGAGCGATGGAAAGATAATGACACCAAGATGATAAACACAAGGCTGATGAATATGCAAATTCATGGAGCGACCGACCGGCACACAGATCCCTTTATAAGACTACTAGTGGTGCACACTCAAGTCCTTAACATACATGATCTAAAATATGTCCCTGTTTTATATGGGGAATAGATTAATGTCTTAATTAAGTTGATTATGTAGAGTTAACATTTCAGTTGTTTTTAGTCTTATATTGTAATGCGATGTCCGTTTAGTAGTACCTTGAATTTGCAAACCCATTAAATGTTTGACCACATTTTATCAAATACATTCTACCTGTAGCTACAGTTAGTTGAATAGCGTCTTTTCAGAATAAACCAATGCCAATGTGTGTGTTTCAGTGTCCAGACGGAGGAAGGCTGTGAGATCCTACTAGGACCAGAGGTCACCTATGGTCCTCTAGGCCTAGACCTCTCCAGTCCTGTTGCTATGACGATAGCTCACTGTGCTGAGGTTGACACTGAGAACTGGAACATCCAACTGAAGAGGAAAACACAGGACAACAAATGGGAGGTAAGAGAAGCCCCTTTAACCATAAACAACTCTGTCCTCTATGGGCCAGTTACTCAGACCCAGATTTAGTTTTTTAGTCCAGGACCGAGTCCACCCACATAAGAAAATACTACAGTTTACTATAGAATAATATCTCGATCATGTGTAGTACTTAGCATAGAATTGTGTAGTATACTGTAGAATACTATAGTAAATACTACAGTATTATCCACAAAAAACACTAGTAAATACTACAGAAATGTATACAAAACAATTTGTTTTACTATAGTAAATACTTCTGTATTTAATTTGCATATACCCTGCCCATTCCCCTCCCCCATATCCCAATTTGTGCCACCCGTAAATGAGAAACCTACATGCCAAGTATATACCATATATTGTGTCCCCTACAGGTCATAGAAAAGAGCAGAAGTGCTGAACTCCTGTTCAGCCTCTAGTCCTACCTACCTACAGGTTATGGAACATTTGCTCTTTTAGTATTTCTCCAGTAGGTTTCCTCAAGGAGAAAGCCCCCTCACTTTTATGTCAAAGATAATTAAAACAAAAACAATTGAGTAAATACTACAGTAATGTCCCCAAAAACACTACAGTATACTACAGTCTGCAAAAACACTACAGTAAATACTACAGTATACCGTACTACAGTCCGCAAAAACACTACACTAAATACTACAGTATACTATTCCCTATGTAGTGCACTACTTTGTAGGAATTGAGTGCCATTTGGGACGCATCCTTGAGCAATGCCCTGCTCCACACCCTATGCCCTCAATAGCCTTTTCACACTTCAGACACTACAGTGAATACTAAAGTAAAGTCCACTAAAACACTACAGTGAATACCAAAGTATTCCTACCATAGTATACACTATATAGTATTTTTCCATTTTGGCAGGCCCTATGTTATTGTTTATTTTTTCTTCTATAACCCTGGGGGCAGTGTGTTCTTAACTGGTCAAATATATTCCCAGATAGAGGTTGTATTTTCCCTTGACACCTCAACACAGTTTGTTCCATCAGCTTTTTTCATCTCTCTTTTGGGAGGGACAATGTTCCAGCGAGCCTTTTTGTGATGTGACTGTTGAGATGTGTGTGTCTGAAGTGTGAAAAGGCTATTGAGGGCATAGGGTGTGGAGCAGGGCATTGCTCAAGGATGCGTCCCAAACTGCACTCAATTCCTACGTAGTGCACTACTTTTGACCAGGGCCCATAGGGCTCTGGTCAAAATGAACTTTAATAGGGAATATGGTGCCATTTGTGACTCACACCAAGGCTTATGGTCACTGTGGATCCAACAGCCTGCCTGAGGGGAACAACGCTGAGAGCGCTGGAGAAAAAAACAAACAATTACAGCATGTAATAGCGGAGAAGACACATGGCTTGTGTCAGTCAGACAGGGGGTAACGACAGGGCAAAAGGGCCCGTTAGACATCGGAAATATCGATTGGTGGATTCTGGATGGACACACTGAAATGGGTGTGGACGTGAGGCAATCAGGGGAAGAGTCATGGAAATGGCCTCCCATCTGACCTAGACTCACCGTAGGTGTCCCAAATGGCACCCTATTCCCTATATAGAGCACTACTTTTGACTGTGGGCCCTGGTCAAAAGTAGTGCACCATATAGGGAATAGGGTGCCATTTGGGATGCAGGCACTGCCTGCCCTGCCTGCCCTGCTTTCTAAAGACCTCCCACTGCTCAGGACATGTTTTACTAAACAGACACGTGAATCAGCCTGCCTGCCACTCACTGGCTTTTTCAGTAATTGTTAGACCTTGGTTTGTTACCTTTTGATTTCTCAACACTGTTGTTAAGATACTAGGGCCTACAGCCCAAAGCCATAGTGTTTGTTTTTTCTCATGCAAAGTTGCTATTAGTAGGCTTAGTTGAGATATTTCAGCATTCTTGTTTTTTTTCAGTGTGTACTGTTCACCTTAGGAATGTCTAATATTCTCTTGTTGTCTTATAAAAAAGAGCTTTCTACAATCTAGACCGTATTGTACATTCCCAAGAGGTTAATACACAACCCAGAGGCTCTGCAGGCAATGCCAGCGCCCTCACTTAGAATTATTTGTTCATGAAAATGTGTTTTTGAACAAAACAAGTCAAGTATAAGAGAAAATAATTAAGAGCATTTCCAGGCAGGCAGTAATATAATTGTACATTTGACCGTGTTTTGGCAGACTGAACAAGGGTCAGAATAATGAATAGTGTAGTTCTGCCCCAGGCTGTTATGCTATGTGGTGTCAGTGATTAAAACAGGATTGTTATTTAGAATATTAGCAGCCACTGGATTTTCTCCTGCACCCACTCTGTCCTATATAATGTTGTTACAACCAATGGAAGTGGGATGTGTGCCCTATGTAAGGCAATTAACTATACAAGAGGTTGTAGCAGTCCTTGCTTGTATCACTGGCTTGCTTACCCCAGGCAAGGATACAATGGGAACGGGTGGCAGGGATCTTTGTCTCAATTACGGGCTGCCTCCTGACTCCACCGTTCATATACACAATGTCTCTTGCCCTTTTCTATGGATATATCCCAAATAGCACTCTATTCCCATATAGTGCACAACTTATGACCTAAGCCCTATGGTGCAATTTGGGGCACAGTCTATAATCTCTCTTGGATATACAATATGCACCGCTGTAGATTTCATACCCTGCAGACTCCCTGGAGGTCATTCTAGCTGAGGATGGTACAGGTGTGTAATTGACATACTGTAGGTAAGCCTTGAATCTCATTAACCCTCTCTGTGACCAAAGGTTCAACACGCAATGACAAGAGACAGCAAAATTGGTAGCTACTAACTGACCCTCCTTCCTTGGCCCATCATTACTTCTCCTTTGTGTAAATGATATAGCTTTGTATGTCTCCAATTTGCTCGCTGGTATTTTTATTTGAATTGAACACAGCTGTTTTAGAGAGAGATAATGTGGGATATAATTATGGTAGCTGTCTGGGAAGATAAAAAACGACTGATTCCATTATTGTAGTTTAAAATAATAAAAGGGGTTTCCCACCTATTGCTGTTGTTCATAATGACTGATCTGTATTCTGAGATGTTACCATCTCATCTACCTCGGAGACTACGTGTTAGCAGATATTTTTCAGTTTAAAAAAGCACTTCAATTATATTAATTTCCCTTATCTAACTTAGAACCAAACATTTATATGCTTCCATGATGACACAACACTATAAAAGATGCAGAACAAATACACATCCACACATATAAAATCCACACATAGCCCACAGAGCATAATTATAATAATATAATAATAATAATAATATGCCATTTAGCAGACGCTTTTATCCAAAGCGATTTACAGTCATGCGTGCATAAATATTTGTGTATGGGTGGTCCCGGGGATCGAACCCACTACCCTGGCGTTACAAGCGCCGTGCTCTACCAGCTGAGCTACAGAGGACCATTATAGTATTTATTCTCAATGCAATCAAATGTAATGATGCTTAATGAAATTGTTTTATCATCCTCTGTTGCCAACCGGCCTGTGTTTTGTGTTCCGTATCACAGGAAGTGATGTCAGTGGAGGATGAGTCAACATTCTGTTACTGCCTGATGGACTCCAGTAGCTGCCACCTGCTGCTGGACCAGCCTGGCTCCTACGCCCTGGTTGGTGAACCACTCACCCAGGTAGCCGTGAAGAGGCTGAAGCTAGCAGTGTTTGGCAGCATGGGGGCCACCCCCATGGACTACAGCCTCCGAGTGTACTGTGTGGATGACACGCCATACGCCTTTCAGGTAAGCAGGAAGTGGCTCTGTATCATAAATCGACTCCTATGCCCTATGCATTTGCGGAGATCTGAGAGGATTTGATTGGTATAAGCAATATGGTGAACTTCCACCAAGCCTATCAGGGTAAGGTAGAGCTATTAGGGGTCAATTTGAGATTAGGTCATTCTCATCCATTTTTGGCATGCAATGCCTATTTGTCAGTAGTGGAATATAAGAAATACTGTTGAATAATAGGTGTATTTCCTGGTGGTTGCATAATGCAAACAAACAAATGTTGTTTTCCTTTGCTTGGTTGGTTCTTTTCATTGATTGCAGTTTGCTCTTGTGCAATCATATGAAGCTCAATATTGATGGCAGTGCTTAGGCAGTAGATGATAGAAGAGAATCAAGTCCCTCACAAACATTGATATTTCCGGGTTAGCCTTCCAATAATTCGGTCATATAATACAATAAAGCTGTATTGATATCTCATCATCTAGCATCAGGGAAATCAACTGCCTCAGTACAGCCAAGAGACATAAAGCAGAACAGAAGCGATCAGAACAGAATAGGCCTCAGGAGTGACTCAGTTCCTGCTTGTGTTCCTGTGATTTAACAGAAGTCACTGACAGCTGGGTTTAAAATGCTTTTTGGATTTGGTTTATGAATCCGTCCCCAGCGCAGCCTGCCGAGCAGATGCCAGCCCCCTCTGTCCTCTAGGTCTCTGTCGGCTACAATCACACTCACTCTGCTTCATGTTGTTCAAGCTCTGGCTATAGACAGACAGTCAATCACCGGTCATATCCTAGACCTAGATCAACAGGATGCTCCTGATAATAATATTAAGGATGTCATTTCAGTGCAACATTTCCCCAAATGTAGCTCTTACTCTGGCTTCAGTTGCCATACAATGTGAGGACAGGGCTAGCACACAACCTAGACTGCATAGGGAATACAGATTACAGAATTACATAATTACAGAAGAATACCATTTGCTCCAGCAATGCTGATATTAAAGCAGGGGAAGGGGAAATGTCGCAGCATTGAAGGGGTGTTGTTTCTCAAAAGGTCAAAGAAAATGGCCATGCTGTACCCTAAAAATTATTGGATGGATTTTAAATATGATTTTAATAGGAAACCTGATCTGCAGGACAGTCATAGTTGAGTTCAGGGCCCAGTTTTTCAAAAGTTATCTGATTGGATTTCAGCAATTGGATAGGATTAAATGTTTATTCAAACGATAACTTATGTGGCTCATGTAATGGAATGTATTTTTTGTAATGTCAGTTGAGTTGAATCAACAAATCACAGCAAATATTGATGGGTACACTTCCTGCTTTTACTTCCTGCTTGTACTGTACTTCCTTTTTTGCTCCAATGGGTCAAAGATTTTCTATTATATTGACAAGATAGTCAAGTGACCGCTCCAACAATGGAAATACATGTCCTCAAAGACGGAAGGCAGGCGGGAGGAGGTGAGATCAGGTGGGACCATTCTAGCAAATGAGAGGGCAGATACGCCTGTGAACAACATGCCATAGAGATAAATAGAGGACTCATCTTTGTATCTGTGCCATTATAGCGTCTGTGACAGCATGGACAGCGCCATTGAGACTATCTCCATTTTAAAGTAGTCAATTTTCTTATTCTTCATTGGCTGTTTGCTCCCAACTCATTAGCTGTTTGCTCACAAGTCCCAACTCAGTTGACTACTTTAAAATTGTGGAAGCCCTCAACGGTAATATACATGCTAAAATCCATGCTAAAATGCGTTATATCCATGATGAGTCCTCTATCTATCTCATGACAACAGGCACAACTCCGATATAAAACAGTTTTTGGGTAAGTTGCCGAAATGCCACGTAGATCAGTGCATTCGTAACAACCTAACCATTACGAAACGTATATTAGATCAAATAAGCCTCACGTAGCAAATTAGCAATTAACCAATTTTCTTGACCAAATTCGACACTCTCATTGACCTCCATACAAAAATTATACTTACTTATTTTCGTGGACAGATTTTGGGAGGAGTAAAACCTCTCGTTTCACCTCTTCCTCTCTGTATGGGTACACTCGCAATGGCAGCCACTCCACCCTTTATGCCATCATTGACTTGAACGGGGATACCCGTTCTATTGATTCTATTTCTATGGCAGCACAATTCTATGGCAGCTATTTCAATTGCCATCATCCTAAATGTCATGACTGTCATTGCCCTAACACAAACACACACAAACAGTCACAAGCAATCAGCATGGCATGGTGTTAGTCATTCATTTCTTTTGTCGCTTCTCTTTGGGATTGAGATGTCTGAGAATAGACCGCTCATACATTAAACGTCATACAGGAGCAGAACAATGATGACAGATTAATACCTCACAGCCTCAAATCAAAAAGCACTTTCATCATTCCAAATACAATTTGGGGGACGGATGTTAGCCGATACATGCTCATCCATTGCATTCAATTGAAACTTCTATATTTTATTGTGACTTCACATTTAATATAGCTAGCTACTAATGATAATTGTTTTTTGTTCTTTAATGTAATTTCTCTTGACTTTAGAAAATGGTCAGGTTTTGTGAGGATTTGTGGTTGGCAGCAGAAATGAACTGTGGTGATAAAGAGAACTGGCCCACTGACTCTCCAGTCCCTCCCTCCCACCCCAGGGAGTGGTGGCCACAGAGACGGGTAGAGGAGGACAGCTCCTGGAGGAACCCAAGATGCTGCCTTTCAGAGGGAACACCTTCAGCCTCCAGGTCTACATCCAGGATGTCCCACAATTTCTATGGAGCATCAAACCCTTTACTACGTGTCAGGTAACTGGTTTCAACTTTAACTACTTAGAGATGTACATGTTATGTCAGTTGTAAGTCTCAGGAAGACTTACCCTAAAGCATTTAGCACTGAATAATTTCAGAAACTATTGCTATGGAACTTCAAACTCTTTACCACCTGTCAGGTATTGTTAAAGCAGTCTTGGCTTACAAATGTAGACTGTTAGGTACTTCCAGATATGGACATGATCTTGTTCTGCATTACCCTAAAGTGTTGAGCACTGAATGTTGAGCACTAAAGAGTTTGAGACACTGCAAATTTGAGCATAAACAAATACCCAATTGTCATACTTGAGTAAAAGTATAGATACCTTAAAAGAAAGTTACTCAAGTAAAAGTGAAAGTCACCCAGTAAAATACTACTTGAGTAAAAGTCTAAAAGTATTTGGTGCTAAATATACTTAAGTATCAAAAGTAAATGTAATTTCTAAAATATACTATAGTATCAAAATTAAAAGTATAAATCATTTCAAATTCCTTATATTAAGCAAAGCAGATGGCACCATTTTCTTGTTTTTAAAATGTACGGATAGCTATGGGTACACTCCAACACTCAGACATCATTTACATACAATGCATTTGTGTTTAGTGAGTCCGCCAGATCAGAGGCAGTAGGGATGACCACGTGTTCTCTTGATAAGTGTATGAATTGGACCATTTTTCTGTGCTTCTAAGCATTCAACATGTAACGAATACTTTTGGGTGTCAGGGAAAATGTATGGAGTAAAAAGTACATTATTTTCTTTAGGAATGTAGTGAAGTAAAAGTAAAAGTTGTCAAAATATAAATAGTAAAGAAAAGTACAGATACCCCAAATAACTACTTAATTAGTACTTTAAAGTATTTTTACTTAAGTACTTTACACCACTGATAGGAAGTTGTATGTGTTATTAATGGCCAGATGGTTGACATTTTGGTTACAACCAGACTGCAATTCTTACAGGAGGTTGTTTACCTTTATTGGTAACTGTGTGTGCACACTGCATTGCCCCCATACATCTGTGAGTGGGGTGAGGAAGTAGCGTGGCGTGTCTCACACAGACTGTCAAACAGACACCTCCTCTTGGCTTATTTATGAGGATCTTTGGAAGGAGACTGCCTGTGAACCTCCACCTTTCACAGAGCATGTGGAGAGTAATGGCTCTTGCCTGCACGATACATCAAGTTATCTTTTATTTTTTATTTTACTGCTAAAGAGTACCTGGCCTCTCCATGTCCATCATTCCTCTGCGCACCATTATCTGACACATCCATCCCACATCGGGGAGGATCAGATGATCAAAGCTAAGGGGTTAAGTCCTTTTTAGGCACACTAGGCTGTTTTTTTACTGTACAGTTAGCTGGGGGTCTTTATCACCATGGCTGCGTCTCAAATGGCACCCTGTTCCCTATATAATGCACTACTTTTGACCAGAGCCCTATGGGTAGTGCACTATGAGTAGGGCACTATATAGGGGATAGGGTGCCATTTGGGACGCATCCCAGCACTGTGACTCGTTTACAGGTGACTTTATTATGCAGAGATGGAAGAAGGGAGTGTGCAAGAGGTCAAGGACGTTTCCCAGCAGAAATTAATTGTACACCCCCCTCTCCCTACAGTCCAAATGCGTATTTCCAGACATAATGCTATCGTTGCATAGCGTTGTGCAACTTCAAAGCCTGCAAACACCCTCTTACCCCACTACTCTCTCTCTCTCTCTCTCTCTTCTCTCTCTCTCTCTCGCTCTCTCTCTCCCCTCTCTCTCCCCCTCTCTCTCTCCCCTCTCTCTCTCTCTCCCCCCTCTCTCTCTCTCTCTCTCTCTCTCTCTAGGAATTCTCCTTCTCCCAAGTGTGGTGCAGCAACCAGCAGCCCCTGCACTGTGCCTTCTCCCTGGAGAAATACAGCCCCACCACCACCCAGCTCTCCTGCAAGATCAGCGTGCGTCAGGTCAAAGGTCATGAGCAGATTCTGCAGGTCTATACGTCCGTGGCGGAGGTGAGCCTGGCACTCCATGTGCGGATGACATTTTACTTCCACAATCCACACAACCTTTATTTAACCTTAGTGAAGTCAGTGTCCTCTGCTGTCGCTGGCTGAATAGCCTGTTCTCAGGAGTCTGCAGTGGTTGTCTCTCCCTATTCCCTATGGTGCACTAGTGTTGACCAAGGGCTCTGGTCAAAAGTAGTGCACTATATAGGGAATAGGGTGCCATTTGGGATGCATCCTGTGCTTCTTTTTAAAACAGAGGGTAGCTAGACTCTATCAATGAGACCTGACTTATTAATGGCCCTGTGTATCCTAACAGCCCTTTTGTTAAATAAAATATAATTGTAATTATATTTGACTCCTGTGATATTGTGTGTTGGCTCTCCCCTTTGTCTGTTTTGCCCTTGTAGAGCGAGAAGGAGTCAGTCCCATTTTTTATGCAGACGGACTGCACCATCACCTCACAGACGGGGCCCAAGGCCTTCAAAATTCCCCTCTCCATCCGCCAGAGGATATGTGCCACCTTCGACACTGCCAACGCCAAGGGCAAGGACTGGCAGCTCTTAGCCCAGAAACTCCATCTAGATAGGTGAGTGTCCAGGGCTGTGATCCCAAATACCTCCCTATTCCCAATGTAGTGCACTACTTTTGACCAGGGCCTTATGGTACTAAATAGGGAATAGGGTGCCATTTGAGATGCCCAACTGTCTATCATGTCTCACTGAATGTTTCAAAGATTGCTTGAACAAACAGCAGAAGGTATTTGAGACTTTTGGGGTTCCAAATGAGCCCAATCAGCTGCCCTCATATTATATCTTATCATGTTAAGCTGATTTTAATTGAGTCTGATGTCACACAAATGACTGCATTCACAGAGCGTGATGCTTTTGGCAGGGAGGGGTAAACCATTGTTTTGTAGTGAAATACTGCCCTCCACTGGATCTAATGGCTTACTGTAATACACACATTCCAAGCTGTTCCCGCAAACGACCCATAAGCCTAGAGTGTGTTTATCATAGGCCTACAGTACATATTCAGTCCTAACTTGACATGGACTTTTCCCCTTCAAATGTTGACTAGTTTACTCACTTTGATATTTCAAGAAATCCGTGATCATGTCTAGTATGTCATTTCTCAGATACACATTTTCTAGCACTGCATGTCAGTCCCTCCCTGCTGAGATTTGGAAGCAGTGCTGTGCTAAAACACAGAGTTGCATCTCATAGGAGACAAGAATCTATAAACAACAATGTTTTTCTATGAACAACAGTGTTGTTCACTTTGCTAAGTGTGCTGTGACCACTTTGCCCACCAAAAGTGTTTCCCCCCCTTTCTCCCTACAGAAACCTGTCGTATTTTGTTAAGCAACAGAGCCCCTCTGCGGTCATACTGAGCCTGTGGGAGGCACGACACCAAGACACTGGTGACCTTGACTCTCTGGCAAGCGCTCTGGAGGAAATTGGCAAGATCCACTCCAAAAGCACTGCAGCAAAGAGCCAGGAGGACCCTGAATCAGACTTAGTACATCATTTAGGAACAGGAACCCCAGGCAACCCAGTGTGTGGAATGGGTGAACTCTCCAATCATGAGACTGCTAACTCAGTCACAGAGTATACTGGCTGACTTATAAGAGGAATTCTAATTCTTCTTCTACAAAGATCCCAACAACCCAAGTGTAATGCATATCCACATATGCACAGATAACTTAGTGGTGGATTTAAATGTCCATAAGATGGAGATTGTTGTTCACAGAGCAAGACAACATGACAGGCAAAAATGACCACTGAAAAAAAATTAAAAATCTGTCATTGCTGTGTGTATACTGTATCCACCCTTTTCTGAGGATGTACTGTAAATCTGTTTTGATTTCTGTGTTCTATTCCCTCCATTCTTTTCCTCTTAGTTAATCCATCTTAAGTCAGGCTGCCTTTCATTTGAGTTTGTGTTGCCTTTGTTTTCTTATTCTGTTGTTGAGACCCACCAATGCTCTTCAGCGAGTGGAACTGCCCTCAGTGCCCAAATGGAACCCTATTCCCTATGTAGTACACTACTTCTGACCAGAGCCCTATGGACCCTGGTGAAAAGTAGTGCACTAAATAGGGAATAGGGTGCGCTATTTGGGAAGAAACCAATATCACACCCATTTACCGTAAGACATCTGTATGGTATTTGTTCCTATTTGAATACTAGGTTATCAATTCCAAATAATGTATCAAATGGGAGAAACCACTCTGAAAAAGGTATAAAAGGTACAGAGTTTAATAACATGCGTTTTACTGTAATGGCAAAACCCCTGACAATGATGGAAATGTATTTTTGTCAGGCTACGGTATTTTGTGTGTGTGTTTGTGTGCGCGAGTTGTGGTTTGGCCACCCTGGGGGAGAAGGACAAAGCTGGAGGAGTTGTAAGACATCATTTCCTGGCACTGTGCCATGTGCATCACTGTATCTTATCACCCACTTTCAGCCATTGACACCTGTCAAAGAGCTGCATATCTACCCGCCACACACAAGCCCCCCAACAGAGGCACAGCACTTCACAACTACACAGGACATCAATGTGGATATAATGTGTTATAGTATGGAAGCCTTTCTGATACATTAAGCAGGCATGTTTAGCATCCTGTTGTACTGTATTAGTAAGGAGGGCCCATAGGGCTCTGAACAAAAGTAGTGCACTATGTAGGGAATATGGTGCCATTTGGGACGCATCTTAAATGTCATAGGAAAGCAGGGGATTATGAATTACTGGTCTGAATAATAGGCACTGGATTGAAATTTTTTTGAAAAGACAAACACAAAAGAATACAACAGTAATTCATAGGATGGATTTTTTCCCCCATGAAATTCATAGGAGGGATGTATACTTCAAAGTCATTCTTATGATGCATATTTATGTTTTATGTGTTCAGTATGATTTCTCATCTACAGGCTTGGATCATGTCTCTTTGTAGTTATTCACAGCTTTCATTGGTATAGTATTATGATCATAATAACAAGGATTTGAAATTATCTGAATACTTTTTGAAAATGTCTCTCAGAGGTGTCTCACTCCAATATTGCTGTTACATTTTACAAAAGACGCTCGACTTGTTGATTGTACACCTGTTGCAGTCTCCTCTGAACTACTGTCCCTAAAACACTGTTGGCACATAGTTTGTTATATGCAATTTCATATACAACAGGATGCATCCCAAATGATACCTCTATTCCCGATAGTGCGCGACTTTTGAATAGTGCACTTTAAAGGTAATAGGGTACCATTTGGGACACAAACATGCAGTGTTGAGCTGAAGAGTGTTTATGCTACATGACCAGATTTATGTACTGTTTCTGTTGCTCTCATCATAAAGGATTACATTAGAGCTGAAGTTACATTGTACGTGAAACATACATTGCTATTCAGATAGTACACATTCGCTATCCTCTACTGATCAATCGAATGTTAATCGTTATACAGTCCAGCTGACTATAGAACAGATTAGTGAGTGAGCTTTACATTTTGAATATGATTGTTTTCTTAATTGTTAGTTGTTGAATTCTCCTTCCATGTACTAATGTGAGCAACAGTGGTACAAAAAATGGAAGCAAGTGTGCTGTTGTAATGCTAAACAGTGGCTGATGTTGCATTAAGAGCATTTGTCTGTGAAATACAATACATCATAACAACCAAACAGAATTGTAACTATTTTATTTAATGTAGCCTATTGCAGCAATGCTGAGTCATATCCAATTTATTAAATGTTGAAGTTAAGTTTGTAAATGTTAAGTGGGGCCACTGGGCTTTGAACCATGAATAAACACACACACACACACACTCTGTATACTTATGGTTTGTGTTAGAGTATTGCTGTGTCACTGGCTGAAGAGTTTACTGTTGGACCCCTGATTTACTGTCCCCTGAGCTGGGTTGTATCCCAAATGGCACCTTATTCTCTAAATAGTGCACTACTTTTGACTAGAGCCCTATGGGCCCTGGTCAAAAGTAGTGCAGTATATAGTGAAAAGGGTGCCAATTAGGACGCAACCCTGGTAACTATATCTCCACCCTCCTGATTTACAACACGGATGGATGTTACCTAGCTCTGGTCCAGGGCATTAGCTGGCTCAGCGTAATCATGCCACACTAACCCTGTGGACCAGAGCTAGAGGTTACCATGCTCCTTTTTACATCACGCATGGCCTTTGGCTTCATGTCATTATTCTTGTGCCTTGTTTAACTACTGTAAATGGTGAATGTTGTAAAGTAAAGATGGGGCTAAAAAAACAACAACAAAAAAACATACCAAAATACATTTCAAAAAGTATTAGTTCAAAAAGTATTTAAGATTATATAATTGAATAGGCTGCAGAGCTTTTCTAGTGCTAAACACATATGTTTGGTATTGCCAGGGCAGCTTTGTGGTATATTGTATCTATATAATTATGGACATTTTGGATGTGTTCTGTACAGTAGAATTTGCAAATGTATATGTAGCCTTTTGGAAATTAAATGTACAGTTGAAAAGTCTCAAATTTAGTATGAGTAGGTTACTGTGCACCTTTGACACAATGTATACTTCATACACTACATGATATGCACTTTACTAGGTCTACTTCACAGTAATGCTGTTTGAGTACATATCTCTGACATGCATGCTTTTTCATGCTTTTGATTTCTCCTTGCTTATACAATATGGCTCATGTTGTTTTCTTCCACTAGTCTCTTCATGAATCTACAGTAGCTTGGTCCTAGTTATTTGTATTTTATTTTTATTTATTTTTATTCCATGTAGTCATGGCTCTATGTAGTAATGTGCGCCTCCAATAGTCTGTTCTGGACTTGGGGACTGTGAAGAGACCTCTGGTGGCATGTCTTGTGGGGTATGCATGGGTGTCCGAGCTGTGTGCCAGTAGTTCAAACAGACAGCTCGGTGCATTCAACATGTCAATACCTCTCACAAATACAAGTAGTGATGAAGTCAATCTCTCCTCCACTTTGAGCCAGGAGAGATTGACATGCATATTATTAATGTTAGCTCTCTGTGTACATCCAAGGACCAGCCGTGCCGTGCTGTCCTGTTCTGAGCCAATTGCAATTTTCCTAAGTCCCTCTTTATGGCACCTGACCACATGACTGAGCAGTAGTCCAGGTGCGACAAAACTAGGGCCTGTAGGACCTGCCTTGTTGATAGTGCTGTTAAGAATGCAGATTAGCTCTTTATTATACACAGACTTCTCCTCATCCTTGCTACTGTTGTATCAATATGTTTGACCATGACAGTTTACAATTCAGGGTTACTCCAAGCAGTTTAGTCTCCACAACTTGCTCAATTTCCACATTCATTACAAGATTTAGTTGAGGTTTAGGATTTAGTGAATGATTTGTCCCAAATACAATGTTTTTAGTTTAAATATTTAGGACTAATTTATTCCTTGCCACCCATTCTGAAACGAACTGCATCTCTTTGTTAAGTGTTGCTGTCATTTCAGTTGCTGTGTTAGCTGAAGTGTAGAGTGTTGAGTCATCTGCATACATAGACACACTGGCTTTACTTAAAGCCAGTGGCATGTCGTTAGTAAAGATTGAAAAATGTAAGGGCCTGGGGAATTCCTGATTCTACCTGGATTTTGTTGGAGAGGCTTCCATTAAAGAACACCCTCTGTGTTCTGTTATACAAGTAGCTCTTTATTCACACATACGTTTTTCCAGCAACATAATATGGTACAGGGGCACAAAGAGAAATAGAAAGTCTTAAGTCCGGATCCGGGGGAAGAAGGCAGGCGCGCCGACAACAATTCTTCTCCATCTTTCTGGTTCCGACACACAACCATTTACGCTCACCTGGAGTCGAACAATGAGCAGCCATTTTCTGGTTCAAGCTAGTAGAGGGGTGTAGTGGCAGAAATTGATCATAGTCCAGGAAGGTCCCATTATGATCCTCTAGGTTGTTTTGATAGGAAACATTTAAGGATGCCAATAGTCTCATAGAATCCTTATTTCACTTCAAGGCACTTGGTCAAATTTGTAATTTCTTCATGAATAGTAATAATCCTTTCTTTAGCTGCATCAAGTTCAATACATTTTTCACAAATGAAGGTATCCATCCGACCTTTCCTCGTGACAACAACGAACATGTCGCAGATGACATTTAATAGCACGCGAGTCCTCAGCAGATTCAAATGAGTTTTCACTGCTGCAGGCCGACAGTCCAAGGGAACAAACATTTCCCGGCTCCGCCGGGGATTTATATGCCCCCTCCATGGTCACGGATGCCCCCACCAGCCCTGTGTTGTTGTCTATCTCTCGTTGAATGTGAAGAGCGAGAGAGAAGCGTAGGGAGGCGGGTGATGTCTGGGTCGGTTGTCAGTGGCAGTTCACCGGCTGTTCCTCGCTATGCACCGGCCCGGCTACGTGTTAGTGTTTGGTGTAGCCTCTCAGAGCTGTGTCGGGTGTCTGTAGTCGTGGGTTACAGCATGTATTGGCCAACAATTGGAGTCACACTCATATGCTGGAAATAACCACTTTCCTTCAGTAGTTTTATAGAGAGCGTTGTATGAGTTGAGCTCTTTGTAGCCTGGCTCGGTTGTTGGTATCCAGGTACTAAAGCGTCTGGGGTGAAAAAGTTGAATGAAAAAAG